TCCAGTTCAGTTTCTTACTACTTTCATTACCTTAAGCAAAGTAATTAACCTATCTGAGCCTTATTTGCCCAAATGTGACATAAGGGCAAATGGCACTCTCTTTCAATTTTGTTAAGCGTTAAAGTAAGGTGCCTCACTCAGGGTGTGAGCCTCCCACCCCCATATTTCTTTGTATACTCTACAGTGCTTTATATATAGTATTTTCTGTTTCTTTTTCCTAAAAGGTTATCAAATACATTTCTATTAGTGTTTTCTCAGAGTAATAAATCATAATTAGCACAGCTCCATTTATATAATATCAATACCAAGCATCATCACTCCATTGTTTGAACTTATAAGGGCCATATGCAGAATTTTACAGTTTGTGGCCTTCTGTCTAAGTGCTGGGCAAAGCATTTAATTGGAGAAAGTGTTTCATCTTTGAGATGAATTCATTGGCCTGTGGATCACCTTCAGGGTTTGATTCATCTTCCTATGCCCTTGCAAAAGCCTAACTGCTCCACTCAACTAAGGGCCACTAAGGGCCTTGATTTTAACTAGCTCTACCTGCATTTTGATTGAGTACTTCTGAAAAGGCTTTACCTATTCACCCAACAATTATTTCTGAGTTGTTTGCTGTATATAAGAACTATACCATGAAAACATTATGCAGGATACAGGCTGAGTTAGAATCTTTTCTTCCTGTTAAAACACTACTCAAACCAACCAAATGCAGCAAATATATCCATTTCCACATTCTTCAGGGTGACTTACTTATAAAGATTAAATTAGCAATGGATTCATCCCAAAGGAATGACAGAGAGAACTATAAGCTCCTCCATTATTTAGTCGCCAAGACTTAAGGCAGTGGGCAGATAGGGAGGTGATAACCACTCTTCTTACCACTGCACTCTTGAAACAGAGGCGTATTTGAATATGAGTCACTATCCTCAGCGAGCTTTAGTTAAAGGATAATTACATGGGTTGCCCTAGAATAGAACAAAGAAAATTAACTCAGTAGATTTTTCCATCTAAGACTAATGCACTAATATGGACATGTACACACAATTTGTAAAAAAAGAGCAGAGATGTCCTAAATCAAATTTATAAGGAGATTAGAGGGATAGGGAAATGTTTGCTTCCAATTTTGATCAAAGGAAAGTACACTCGATTAGAGGAATGTGACAAAAATTAGTGCCAAGTTGACTGCTGTTCTCCATTTTCGGGCCCATAGGAAGATTCATTTTCTGATTTATCTCTGGAAAGGGGGAAGACTTTTAAAATCACACACAATGCTATATGTCTGGAGCCACAGTATTTATTAGTCTTGTTGTCATTCCTTAATAAATGTTATAGAATTTTATTTTAGCAAGTGTGTAGCAGAAGTTTAAAAAATTCCCTTGACCCTTTCATTTTCAGTTCAGAAAAAAATAAAATAAAAACAGGTAAGATATTCCTTGGGGAGTTAAGGAAAGAGAGATATTCTCCCAGTCCTCACCCAATGTCCCAGTGAAATCTCTTTCAAGAAAGTGCTCTTCGGTCTTCCTTCTACTCTAATTCAGCATTGAAAAATGAAGGTCCTCAACATTCACTGTTTCCAGAACTCAATATTTTTTGGAAATTATTTTTCATAATTCAGCTTGTGGAGACTACCTTGTTTTCTTATTTTAAATCACTGAGTTGTCCTCTCTTCTATTTCTACTTCATGAAAATTATCTCATCCAAATGTAAGTGATACAATCTTGGCTTTTTATGGTTTCTTTATTATATGACTTGTCTTCTGCATATCTCTCTTGCTTCTCATTGTGCTCCATACCTGACTTCTGATTTAGAAATAAGCACTACTTGTGAATAGACCAATGAATTCCAGTTCTATAGGAATCACAGCTCACCCTCACGACAAAGGAATTAAACTCCTATCAGTTATATTTACTACTTGAAAGTTATTCCGCTTAAGCAGAGATTGTTAATCAAAATTAAGAAAATTAAAGGTGATTACAATCTTTGGTGATAGGAGTGGCAACATTTTGGGATCAGATATAGAACCATTGTTAGGAGCATTATCTCTGGAGTCACTGGGTTTAGGTTGAACTTCTGACTCAATCATTTATTACCTATGTGATTTGTGTAAATCAGTTAAAATCTTAATGCATTTCTCCCATCATCTGTGACAGTTACTTTACAAAGTTGTAGCAATTTAAAATAAGGTTTTTCATATTAGAGGGCTTTGGAACAGTGTCTAGTCCATAGGAAGTTGTTATCAACACTTTATCTATTCCATCTATCCTGATACACAGAGATGTCCAGTTCCCAGAATCCTTCCACTTGTTTGCAGGGAATCAAACTTTACAATATATCAAGAGAGCTGGTTCAACATAAATTAACTGGCTCAAATAAGCCTCTGTTCACCCCAGATCTACCTGTCCCTGTCCCAAATCTATTTCATGGATTACATTTCCCATGCCATTGGAAATGGCATGATGAGAGAATAGAGAGAGAAAAAAGAATGCAAAGCAAAGAGGAAAGGAATATATACTGCTCTTCCCAAATCAGAAGACCAGAATTTATGTGCTCTGAAAGAGGGTGGCAATGTAGGCCAACCTTACTCCTTTTCTGTTTCCCCTATGCATGGATATGTGTGACAGGTTCTAGTTCCAAAGTTGGCAATGATTTCTTTGTGCAAATGTATAGTTCTTTGTGCCTTTTTCTGACTCCTATAGAAAAGTAAGAAGTTAGATAAAATTATCTCAGAGATTTATTTTAGCTACAATGTTGTGTGGTTTTATAATTCTTCCTTTCACATTCCCCTCAGAATTGATTATTTTGCCTGATTTTTATCAATGTGGAAATTATTAAGTGAAGTTTCTTGTTATAATTGCAACCTTTTGAAGTAAATATTTTTCTTCCTTTATAAGCATTAATTATTACAAACTCATTTGTTAAGAAGTTAATATAGCAACTATACTTCCCAAATGGAAACATGCTAATCTGATAATTACCATTCTTTTAATCCACATCAGTATTGCTGATTTCATTAGAATTGAAAGGCCCTGGTGTTGCTGCCTGATGGGGGAAACAAGATATAGTATTTGAGAGTCAACACTGGGAGAAGGATTAACTGCACCTTTGCAAGAATCTTGCTCTTCCTCATTTTAGTAACTTTTCTAGTTATTGAGAATATCCTATGGCAGGAATGAAGTTATATTCTTGGAAATATGCAAAATGCTTTAGGAATGAAGTTTAGCAATATACATATATACCAAGAACTTCCTACTGATTATAATGAACTCTGTCAACTTCAGGTATATTGCTTCCTCAGGGACGGAAGCATCACTGCAGAAAATGAAAGTTCTCTTGATAATGACATATACATAAAGGCGTATTGTGTTTTCAGCTATGAATGTGAAAGGATGTATCTCAGCATTTCCAGGCATCTCATTATTTTCTTAGTTTCGAGATTCCAAATGACCTTTAGAAACAGTTTGAAAAATATTCCCTGATGCAAACTTTAGAGAAAAAAAATGCCCTGAGCAATCAGACACAGCATGCTACTGTTTGCCAGTCATTAATATACCCTATGGATCTGCAGCAGGAGGCAGAAGCTTAGAGGATGTATTTTCTAAATATTTGCAGGGTGAAAGCTGCCCAACTCTGTGGGTATATTTGTGCAGCTGTCTCAGAAAACATCCCTCCATGGGGATCTACTCTTCACTTTCTCCACAGCTTTTTCTTTTAACTGTTAGTTCTTTAACCTCTCGGAGCTGGGCTACTCATTCTAATCTCTAATTTCTCCCAAGGCTTGCTCATTCATTCATTCATTCATTGCTCTCACATTAAGCACAATGCTTTCAGGTGCTTTGGGAAGCAAAGAAATCAAGCAACAAGACTCAAACACTGTACTTAAACAAAAATTATTAGGGCCCTGAGAGGTTTCAGATGGCTGAAATCCCAGCAGCTCAGGTGGCTGAGACAGGAAGACCGCAAGTTCAAAGCCATCCTCAGCAACTTAGCAAGGCCCTAAGCAACTTAGAGAGTCCCTGTCTCAAAATAAAAATTAAAAATCCCTGATACCTACACCCCACACCAAAAAATAAAAAATCATTAGGTTACTGGCTGTTTAAGACAAACTGGTTTATAAATGGTATCTTAGAAAGTTTGACACAATCTATTACCTATCACAACTGAAGTAGGTAAGTTGGAATTTCAGGGAAGATTTTCACAAACTCATTTAATCTTGAAATAGTTATAGAACATTCCTAAAATTCTGAGCTTATGAGAGAAATTTATCTATTTATTTAAGAAGACATATATTGTTACATATTAATTGCTAAAGGAAATTTTACCAAAAGGAGGAAATAATCAATAAATCAAAATCTGAAAAATTTATCCAAAATCATAAATGAATAAATTTTAAACCAAAATGTTCAGTCGTTTTTAACCAATAGATTTTCTGAAAGATTTTTTAAACAGCTATATAAACCAAGTCTCTTTTGAATTTTGTTACAAAGTGTATATGTATACACACACACACACACACACACACACATATATACACACACACAATGGGGTTTGAACCCAGGGGTGTTTTACCACTGAGTTACAGAGGTAAAATGGACTGGGGAGTCTGACTGATTGATTGATTGAGACAAGGTGTAAATTGCTGAGACAGCCTCAAACTTGGATCCTCCTGCCTCATCCTCTTAAATTGCTGGGATTGCAGTTCTGCATCACCATGCCCCACTACAAAATAAAAAATTTAAAGCAATATTTTAAACCAGAAAATAGTTTTTCTCTCTTTTTCTTACATTGGACAAATAATAGAAATATGTTTTGAGTTATAATCGCATCTGAAGTGCAACACTTTCCTTATTACAATGTTTTGCTTCTGCTATAGAATGACATATATATGATTTATATACATACACATATATGTACCATTCTTAATGACAGAGAAGGAAGAGAAATATGGAGTCACACAATTTGCAGATTTTAAAAGACCATTTTATTGGGATGTTCCTAAAAAAGCACTTCTTCACTAACAAGTAAACTTTAAATTTTTTAGCAATGAAAAGATGCCACTTTGAAATGTGTCACTTTTTACTATGGAAATTTATGTATACATATGGAAACATAAAGAATCAACTCATATCCCTGTGCCCATAATGAAGTTTCAACAAATATCAACTTTTTGTTCTTACTATTTCATCAATTCCCCCAATACAGTTTGATTTTCTGAATAGCTTCAAATGGTAAATACTTCAGAGCATATAATTAACAGATAAGAAATGTTAGAAAATGATCCTGTATCACACTTAAGTTAATTGAAAAATTTATGAAATATCTGATATATCTTTTCACAGTTTATTTATTAAGACCATGGTCTAAACAAGATCCACATATTGCATGTGGCTAGTATGTCCTTTATAGCTCTGATAATAGTATGTTAATTTGCATTCTGTCTTAGGTGTCACCATTTTCCCTTGCCACCCCAATGCCTTCCTCTCTCTCCCATTGATATGTTTATGAGTACCCCATTTAGCCTGTAGAATTTCACACATTCACATAATAGGGATTTAATTGGCTATGTTTCCTTGATTTTCTTTAAACAAGTTTCTTGCTGTATTTCTGAATTTCCTGTAAATAGGTAGCAAGCACTGCTTATTGAGTCTGCTGTTGTATATCTCCTTGTGTTCCATCAAGACACATGGCGTATCTTGTTTTTGTAATTTAGTACTGTGCAGATTGAATAGTAATAGGAAACTATAGTATCATCCATCTATTATAAAGTCATCAGTCAAATTTTCACCTATATATCTTAAAATCTACTGCTACATTTTTTCATTGGATGTTACAAAATAGCAAGGTCATTTAGTTTTGTCATTCTCCTGCAGTCATTTGCCTTGATTCATACCCAAGGATTTCTCTTTATCCAGTTTAGCAACTAAGAAACTCCTTGAAGAAGAGCTGAATAAGTCTTTAAATTCTTTCTCATTTTCAATTCTTAAAATAATCAGAGTGTGCCCTAGTAAACTCTATGGAGACCAATAATTTATGTTCTGCTTTGTCTTTTGCTATTTCTGTTTTTTTTTAGGTACACAGGGACTTTAATATATTTTGTGATTTAGGTCAATCGCAGTCATTATTCTTTGTGATTTTCAAGCTATCTTGTCTTTGGCTAGTAGCTCTTGGCTCTTCTTCCTTTGATGAATTCCTTGCTTTCAGGTATACTAGAATATTTCAAGTTAATCCTGTAAATTTCTTGTGAATATTTCAAGTTCATTTTGTAAAATTCTTGATGTAGACTCTGAGTCAGCCATTTATCTAAGAAGTCCTGATTCCTTTTACTGGAAAGCTGGATTTAAAGACGACAGTCTATGCCTTAGGGCTGTTTCTTGCTTCTGGATTTTTTCAGGGTATTGAGCTGAAAAATAGATAAATTTTAGAAAATAATAAATCATGGATGCATACTGACATTTAGACTTGACATTAACAAGTTTTACTTAATGTGTAAAATTTAACTTGATTTTTAAAAATAGATATCTGTTTTGTCTTTCTAAAAATTTTAGATTTTAAATTAAGTTAGCATACCTATAGTTGCTTTACATTATATAAAAATAGTTTGTATGTGCAAATCATATATTTTCAAAGTAAAAATTTCCATGATTTCATTAAAAATAAACCTAAGAAGCAGTTTTGTCTGGTTCTTTTTAGAAAATCGAATGACTATTTCTATATTTTTGAGTTAAAATATCATGTTTCTTAAAGTCACAATTCTATATTTGCTTATTCTACCAATCTTATGTACTGTTATATAATATATAAAATATTTGTATTTTATCATTTATATTGTAAATATAATATGTTCTGTGTTTATGCATGTATATATACTTTACATACTATTTCCTTTATGAATTGCTTTCAGGTTTGTTTTTATTTCATTTTTGGATTTTAATTCATGAAATACTTACATGATTCCAAAGTCAGAGCTATCAAAAAAAAAAAAAAAAGTTTAGTGTTTACAACTTTGTTCTTTCTCCTCCTAATAATTTTCTTACCACAGAATAACCATTTTTATTTTTTTTTTTCAGATGATCTTTTCATTTTTTTTCTTTGAACACAGTTAGCTTATAAGTCAGGCATGGCATGGCTATACACACCTATATTCACAGCAGCTCAGAAGACTGAGGTAGGAGGATCACAAGTTCAAAGCCAGCCTTAGCAACTTAGTCAAGCCCTATCTCAAAATAAAAAATAAAAATGGGCATGTGGCTCAATGGTGAAATATTGCTGGATTTGATCCCTGGTGTAAATTAATGAATAAATAAATATCAACATACAATACAGTTTCTTCTTTAATCTATTAGGATTTGATCAGAGAATCTGAAAATACTATGAGTGGTGTGAGAGATTTATTGTTGGGATAAGCAATTCTACACAATTAGGAGCATTGGTTAAGCTGTGTAAGTCTGACACACTTGGATATGGTGCAGGGTTTGAAGTCCACAGGACCAGAAATTCAGAAGGAATGAAGTGGCAAAACAGAACTCATGAAGATGAACTGGCACCCACATCTGTCTCTTACCTGAATGAGCAATAGCTTCTCAGCACTTCCAAGCCTCCAACTTCAATGATATGAGTGATCTGAAAAAGAGCTAGAACAATTTACCACAATCTTAGCCCTCAAAATGTCCCCTATTCAGAGAATATGCGAATGGAGGTCCAGAGAAGGTTGGGGAAGATTCTGGCCATGCTGCTGCTTCTTTTAGGTCCATAGCAATGTCACAAACTATGTGAACTGCAACTGTGGCAGACTACAAATCACATACAATTGTCACTTGTGGCTAACCCTAACAGAGAACCTAGGACGATATATGGAGAGGATGCTGAGCCACTTAGTTCAAACTAAGTTGATATCCAAAAAAGCCACCACAGGCCATCTTTTGTCAACACATTACTTAATATTCTCTCTTTCAATCATTCTCAAATAAATGCATTGGCACAACCATGATTCTATTTAACGTGGCACAAATATATCTCATGTAACCAAAACCCATACTACCTTCTCCCAGAAAGAGAATACAAAAACTTTTCCATCTTTGGGTAATGTTTATTCCTGTTCTTGCTGAATTGTGGCCCCTTTTTGGTACTCCATAATATAGGTACTAATATATGTTGCTTCCTACTATTAATACATGTCTGATGGCAGAAGAACAAGAGCAAAGATGAAAAAGTATACTTACCTATTGTGGAGTCAAATTTTCACCAATGTGAACAAAATATCTGACAAGAAAAACTTAAAGGAAAAAAGATTTACTTTGGCTTATAGTTTCAGAAGATTTGGTCTATAATTGGTTGATTCTATTGGTTTTGACCAGAGCTGAGTCAGAACTTCACAGAAGAAGAACATGGCAAAAGAAAGCTGCTCGTGAAAGAAAGAAAGGGTCTGGGGAGAAGAAAAGTCCTTCCAGGACATGCCCCCAGTGATTTGCTCCTCCAACTGGCTTACACCTCCCAGTGTCCATCCAGCTATTAGTGTTCAAAGCCCTCATGATCCAATCATTGCCTTAAAGTTCCACCTCCGTGCATGTGAGACCTTGGAAACATTCGAGGTGACAACTATAATATGTGTGTACAAGAGGAAGAAAATGATAATGTACATATGACTTAAATTTGTGCACAAGCACATATGTGCCTGCACACAAACATACTTACCAAAAATATGGAAGACTATTCATGTCCATCACATCATTTCTACAACTTGTAAAATAGATCATAGCTGGTATTTAATAACCATTTTCTACCACACCCTCACATCCATTAAGGCCTTGATGAGTAATTTGATGGGTGATGGTTTCATGCCTAGTAGGGTGACCTAAATATTTATGAAGGACTATTTCATAAGAATTGCTGCCTCTATTGAGTCACTCCTGCTTCCACTGATGTAGGATATGGGAGTTCTAAGCAAGTACATGAGGGATCTCCTGAATTCACACCTACTCTTCCTTACTTCCTTGATATTCAAGGAAAATAAGCTCCTTCTTTTCCCTGTTCCTTTCAATTGAATGATGTTTGACTGTGTCTCCTGGTAGAAGCATTTCTACCTTTCTAGTCTAAGACCGCTATACCAGTAGAGACCTGTGTCACAGATTAAGCACTTGCATTCCCACCCCATGATTCCCATACCTATCAATCCTAACAAAAGGAAAAACAATACCACATTCTGGTAACTCATCTAGAGCATACACTGCATCCTGGAGAATACATACCGTCATCCTGCAAAGTGTGCCCCCAATATGTCTTTGTAACAAAGTCTTCAAAGTGCCAATCTAAACCTCTCATAGGCAAACAATGCAGGCTAATGGTTAATGTAAGATAAGTGGTTTCCATAAACATGAACCCATTGCAGTCCTTCTTGTAAAGTGAATTTGTCAGAATTGATGTTTGTGTGGAAATCATGAAAGAGAATGAGGCACATTGTAAATCTGAGGGTGCATCATAGGAGGGAGGACAAATCCACATCAAGAATTAATGAGAAACCCAGCTGGGGTTGTGGCTCGGTGGTAGAGCACTTGCCTTGCTCGTGCAAGGCCCTGGGTTCAATCTTCAGCTCCACATAAAAATAAATAAAATAAAAGTATTGTGTCCATGTACAATTAAAAAAAAAGAAGAATTAATGAGAAACCAAAGTGTCATTCTTTCCATGACAAATGTACGGTCTGAAATAATCAACTTGGTAGCTGACAGGAGCCATTTACCACTTTTTGAAGTAATATTACTAATCTGTTAGTTGAGACAGTCTAAATGTTCTCTAAGTTTTAAAAGGAAGGAACATATACCTCACATGTTGAGTTTTGGGTATAAAATATGTAATGTAAATCCTGGAAAGCCGCATCTGCTATTCTTCCACAACATGATTTTTTTTTTTGTGCAACTGCCGGGTTTCTGTTGTCTCGACTAAAAGGCTCAGGGGTCACTCTAGTCAAACTGGGCTAACTGGGCTGCACGAAATAACCACAAAAGAGACACAAATACCTTTTTCTTTGGGGGTCGCTTTGACGGCTCCTCTGACCTTAAGTGTCTGCAGAAAGAGAGATCGAGAGCACACGCTGGTCACTTTTTATTGAGGAGAAGCTATTCAAATGAGGCAAGAGGTCAGGTTTCAGGGGGCTGAGTATCTTCATGATGTCCACTGTCAGCAGGTTGACTGACACCTGGGTAGGCCACACCCAAGGGCACAGTAAGAGAAGGGAACACAAACAAGGCACTTCCATGGAAGATTCTATCCTAAACAGGGCAAGGGGTTATATTGCAAAGGAACAGGTGAGCGTAGCTTCACCCATGGGGCTGCAGCAAGACACACCCATGCAGGAGACACTGAGAGCCTCAGCACCCAGCTGGGGAGTGTGACTCAGTCATGTGTAAGGTTGGTCTCCCACATGCAGCAATATGTCTTTGAATCACTAGAGTCATAGAGACAGATCTTCCTTAATATGTTCTACAGCTGTATTATATTCCATTATACAATTAGACTATAGCTCATTCAGCCTGCTCTCCAATGATGGAAATTTTAATTGTTTTCTTATAAAATTATATTGGAGAAATTATGTTGTAATGAATAGCTTTTCTCATCATTACTCTCTTTAAAAAAATTTTTGTGTACATTCAGGGAAAAATATGCATTCTTAAACTTTCTATTTTTATTTATTTTATTCAGATATAGTACAAGGAACAAAATATTCTGTTCTTTCCTTCAGATGAGACATCTTTATTCAGATTCTTAGAGGAATGTATTTGTGGAGTATAACTTAATATTATTCAATGAAAATCAAGTGTCTCAGTTATAATTTGAAACTGTAACACACATTACTCAACAAGTAGAAATTACTGAATATATATCTATATTAGAATGCTCATGGGGCCAGAAACAATGTAGCTCTATGGTAAAGTGCATGCCTACCATGCACATGGCCTTAGATTTCATCCATTCACTAACTAACTAACTAAATAAATAAATTCTGCAGTATTATGTGGTTTGTACCTTAATGATAAAACAAATTCGTCTTCTAATGGCTGAAACAAATCCACACAAAAAAAGTTTCTAAAAATACCATTGATTGTTTTGATAAAATCATACAGGAAATTTTTAGGACTATATGGATGCTGCAAATAACAGTGATCCGTACCTTTCAGATTTATTTAAAAGAAAAATTAAATTTCAAACCACTGAGATCCAACTGAGATTAGATCTCCTATAACTCACTGTATGTCTTCCTTACTGTATGACAATTAATATTTTTCCTATGGTTCATGTTTGAAACCTCAGTTCACCTGGGCCAATTGCACTGAAATTTCTTCTTAAAATATAATATTCATATTAAATTACTTCTCAAAAATAATTAAATTTGGTGATTTTTCTCATTTCATTTTTTTAAACAAACTTATTTGCTGTAAGTGTTAAGTTGTCTAAAAAACTTACAAGATACAAAGTAGAGGGTTCTTATACTGATATGAACATAAAAGAAGCTGGATAGAAATTTTTGAAAATTCAGAAATTACTGCAGGAAAAGAAATGAGATGTTAAGCAAAGATGGGGACCTGAGTGATAGGAAACTGGATACGTCAGAATTGTGAAGGATTGGAGGCATAAAGAAGACATTTTGCTGAGCTGAGGCTATGGCTCAGTGGTAGAGTGCTTACCTAGCATGTGAGAGGCACTGGGTTCAATTCTCAGCACTACATATAAATAAATGAACAAAATAAAGGTCCATGCATCTAAAAAAATATTTAAAAAAAGAAGACATTTTGCTAAGACCAGGATAGTTAAGACATAAAACAGGCACTAAAATGAATATTGGTCCTACCCAAATTTGACTCTTTGTAATACTGTGGTTGCATCAGAAATTTCCATTAAGAGACTCTTGAATGAGTATGGAAAGAGTGAGAATATTCTATGTGGAGTTTGTGACTTCCTTCCTATTTTATTGGTTGCATTTTACCTTCTCAGTAAGAAAAATGTATCTCATTCTACATCATTGTATTTAAAATTCTTTCAACTATTAATTATTGTAAGAAATATATTTTTACTATGAAACAAAACATAATTATAAAAATTTTAAGAAACAATATGTTGCTATATTATATACAGTAGATGTTGATATTTTTGCCTTCTATTCAACTCTAGATACCGTGTCACTAACTAACATAACACTGATGTCCTGAACCTAAAACCAAGACTAAAACTAAATCTAATTCTAAAACTCCAAGCTACATCACTTTTAGATATTTGTTTATGGTTGTCTCATGTGTCTCACAAATCCAACATAACTAAGATTAAAGCCTTTTCCTCTTGCATTGTCCAGATTGATGAATGAAATACCATTCACCTTGTCGTGAAGTTAAAAACTTGGGAGTTCTGCTGCAGTAAGGAAAACAAAGTCCTCATTAATCAGTATGCTTCCATTGCAAGTAATAGACTTTTTTCAACGTATGGTATTTATTGACTCATTAGAGCTGGTCTAATCCTGGTTTTCTTTTAAGAGCTCCTTTTCCAGGTACCCCAAGAAAAACTCTCATGGCAACAGCTTCAATTGCATCACATGACAATCTCTAAGCCAATCCCAGTGTCTGGGGAAGTGTCATGTGCTGATGTGCATAAGCCTAGACCCTGAAACCAGTTCCTATGCAAAAGCGGATGGGATAACGCATCATGAATATCTGTCAAAGCTGTGCCATGTGATCCATTTTGTCTTGCAGAACACGAACTATTTGCAGCAGATTGGCTTCTTGATGGAGAACTGAGGTTCTGAAAGGAAGAGTAAATTGTGAAATCTTTCCCAGTTAGGGAGCCTATAATGCCCATTTCACATGGAAAGTGTATCATGTGTCCCCTTGCAAGGCACGGAAACTGTGGTTAATTGATCCCATTCCTAATACATGTTCATGTGGCTGTACACTCACTCTGCACTGGGCACTCTAGAGAGGCACTTGAGATGCATCTGACTTATTACCATGTGTTGAAATGTATTCACTATTCCTGACCTGGATTTTTTGGCTCTACGCTATGCCTACCATAACGCTATGTTATGTTAAAGATGATATTGTAGTCATACAATATCATCTTTAACATAACACAAATCATTTCTAGAGCTCCATTCCAAGGTCCTTTTAAGCATGAGCTATTACAGAATTTTAAGCATGAGTTATTACAGAATTCTCAGGCCTTCAAATATATACTTCAAATAAATACTTCCTTCAAATATATACTTCCTTTTGATTTTAAAAAAATATTTAAGTGTAAATATAATTGTATCACCAGAATGAAAATATGACCATATTGCTATCATGTTTATAATCCTTCAATGATACTCCATTGCCTACAGAAAAATGTTCCAAATCATTATCAGGCATACAAAACTCTCCAGGACAGCTCATTTTTTGCTTATTTCTTATTCCTGTTTACCCCCACATAAGCCTATGTTCCTGTCATAACAAACTTCATATTGCTCCTTAATTGCATCTTCATGACTCATAACATTATGCATTGCATATCTTTCTTCCTATGCTCAGAAAGTTCTCCCTTCTTGCTTATTAACTTCTTCCCACTGAGACACTCCAGAGTTAGCCATAGCATGTTTTCTCTCTTGTTGCAGCAGTTTAGTAAATGTAACTTTGTTCAACTATGGGTTTGTCTCTCATAATCTTTGTTGTCCTGTGCTTTATCCGTATAGAACAATGTGTTATGCCACAGCACATAGAGAAAATGAGAATGCTGTTTTAAGGCATGCTAATTCTTTATACACACAAAATAGGATGCTGCCTGATTACTTTAGCACCAACAGTTGTCATCTGTCTTTCAAAGACTGAGAGATGTCAACAATTCAGCATAATTTTAACCCAACCTCAAACATGAGAGGCTCTAGTAGGGAAAGCAAGGGACAATGCAACAAGGTAGAAAAAAAAAAGAGAATTATTTTTGACAAAAATCCAGTACACAAACTCTCACCAAGCAAATCAAAGCCTTGATCAAAAACCCTTTCCTTATGAAGAACAGTTATTATTCACTGCTACCATGGCCCTTACGAGTAGAAGTTCCTTCCCATGCCACTCACTAATCCCTGGTCCCCTAGAAATGTATTCATTTATTTCACAAACAATATTTTTCCAGAATGATGCATGATAGGGACATCACACTTCATCCTACCACTTTCCCAGAGAGGTCCCTCCACTGCAGAAGCTTTACAATATTTCTTATTTTGACATGACCAGCCCATCTGGTAGTGGGCCCCAGATAACATAAAAGTTGAACTACCTAGGTGAGGTGGAGTGGAAAGAAATGCATTTGAAAATAACATTCAAGTTTCTTATAGAGAATTCTGATTGCCTGCTATTGGTAATTGTCTGAAGGAAGTGAAATATAGGGGAAGATTATTTCAGAGAAAATAGAGGTAGGTGTATAACATAATATTTATATTTTTAGAAGAAAAGAAGGTGTAGAGTGAAGTGGTCACATAACTAGAGGTATAGGGACATGAATAACAATGACAAGAAGTGAAGCTATGAAATGTCCTTCCAAGACTTCCTTTACATTCTTATTTTTGTGAGGCAGCTTTAAAGTAAGGAGCAAATATGGAATAAAATGAGTTGCACTGTGTTCCCCCAAAAGAGAGGTTGAAGATCTAAGACCAAGTGTTTCAGAATGTGACTTTATGTGGGAACAGGGTGAATTACGGGGGAAATCATGTTAAAATGAGGTAATCAGTGTGGGTGCTAGTCCAATAAAACTGAGGTCCTTATGAAAAGGGGACTTTGTAAGTAGAGAGACACACATAGAACGAAGACAGTGGAGACCCACAGGGAGAGAATGGCTATGAGTCCAGAACTGCCAAGATTTGGTGGCAAAAGCAGAAGCCAGAAGAACAAAGATTCTCCCCTAGAACCATTGGAGAGAGCTAGGTATTGCTGACA